ATGGAACTGACTTCAAAACTATGCCAATGGTTCTCCAATGACTATAGGAGCTAAACATATATATTCATGACATTATACATCACTCTTAATATCCCAACTTTTTTGAGGGCCTCCAAACATAATAAATAGAATAACTTTATAGAGATTTCCAAAATTTAAACTTTGGCACTAGAAAGGTAGTAAAAGCCGAACTTGCACAGTTTTTCAAGAAGAATAAAAATGAATGGTATATTTTTCCATCCTAAGTCAACATTTTTAGATTATTATTAAGGCATGGAAATAGGTGCAAGAAAATCTCATTAAACTAGACCTATTTGCGAATAAGGTTTTGTTTGTTTGCTTCAATTTTCTGGTTAATTGACAGACAGCAGGAAAATGCTTTCTGTTGAAGATCTTTCCAAAGCAGTTTCTTTTCCTAGTTATGAAACTTTTAACCATTCCATTGATTCAGCAGGTCAGGGTCATCAGCTACAACTACCCTCCAGGGTACAGTTATTCTTCACCTTTAGGAAACTAGAGCTATCTTGTTTTATGAACCTTTATCTTTGAAAAAGGGAAGTGGGATGTGCAAGGTAGGAAAGGGCAGTTAATTTAGGGTTCTGGTTAGTTGGGTTCCATCACTAAACATGAATTCAGTGTCTGGACCAGGCAAAACTGATTGCTGGGAAACACGAGAGCTGCAAGGAGAGCCCCCAGGGTCTGTCTTTGCTGGTCTTCTCTAGGAGAAACATGTGTCAGTGTGTCCAGCTAAAGTCATGGGGCTGAATTAAATTTTCAAAAAATGCTCACCCATGGATATGCTTAGAAGAGGGGGGGGGAGGGAGGGTGAGAGAGAGAGACAGAGAGAGAGAGAGAGAGAGAGAGAGAGAGAGAGGTGAGAAAAACATCAATCGGTTACATTCTGCACATGCCCCATTGGGACACTGAACACACAACCCAGGCATGTGCCCTGACTAGGCATTGAACCAGCAGCCTTTTGGTGCGCAAGACGATGCTCAACCAACTGAGCCACTCTGGCCAGGCAAGGCCTGAATTAATTTTAATTAGATTCTAGATCCATGTGGTTTCAACTTAAATGTAGGGTGCTGGTAGCTCCATGTGGATATCAAGGAGAAATAAGCACTTACTTTTCTCTCTCTGAGACTTGCTGACCTGGATTTTTCTTTTTCGATAAAAAACTTTAGTTTCAGTTTTTTTTGGTATCTTAGCAGCTCCCCATGGCAACTGACTTCAAAACCTTTGTTGCCCTGCCCTGTCGCCATCACCCAAGTGTAGAGCATAGACAGTTTATTTCTAAGCAGGTTTGGAAAGTCTAGGGTGGGAATGAGGGGACTAATTTGTATATATTGTACTTTAACTTCGATGACCTTATTTTATCTCTTTTTTGGTTATACCTTTTCCTTAAGCCAAATATACATACATATATACACATGCATGTATATGTATATAATGTATACTCACATGCATAGAGGTGAAAATTAGAGAAAGTGAGATAGTTTAGCACAGGTTTCTGAGCTCTTTGAAACTATGCACCCTGATGCATTGCTTTTCAGAAATTACAACCCTCGGTCAGGCCCAGGGGCAGTGCCTGAAAGTTGTAAAGGAAACCTGGAGAGAAAACAGGGCACTAAGCCCCATGATCATTCTCCAAGGCCGGCTTTCTGAAAACAGAATAAAAAGCAAAATCCCAAAAATGTGAGGCCCGAATGAACTACCGTAATAGGTCCAATACGGCATATTCCTCACAGAACTGCAGGCCACTCACTAAATTCTTCTGTGATTTGTGGATACAGTAATACACAATACTACGGAGATTTGGTGATGGGGGATACATTATACCTCATTTGGAGTGTTACAATAATCTGAGGCCCTGGTGGAGGAGAACTATGTGCTATTAGTTTTCTTTCAGAGTTTTCATTTTCTATTAGGCTTCCATCTGGTTCCTGCCTCCATGTCCACCTGCCCTGATCAAGACCCGTAGGTGCCACAGCTATGCACACGGCTCTGAAACTGCGTGCATGCGGGGCACTGTACCTGGGCTTTTTGTGAGCACATGATGCCGATGAACTGGAGCAGCCCCACTGCAGGAGCCCAGGTGGGTGCCTGTCCCTCCGTCCCAGTGAAGCTGCTTTCCTATACGTGTAAAGGGCGTTTTGGTAATGATTACAGTTGTTTGTGGCATTTCCCCTGGTAGTTTCTGAAAAATGTGTCCTTGCCCTGATAGGAAACCCATTCCTAAGACTGAAGTAGAACATTCTGCAGACCCCTCCCCCTGGCCCAAAAGCAGGCCAGGGAGAGGATGAGGTGTGAGGGACAGGGTCACCTGTTCTTACTCCAGCCTCACAAGCTGTAACATCTCTGTTAAGCACTAGCTATTCTGCACAGCATTCTCGGAAGGAAAGTGACCTCGGGTATTCCGTTTCTTTTCATTGTGTTACAACAGACATAACATTTACCATTTTAGCAATTTTTGAAAGCACAGCTCGATGGTACTAAGCACATTCACATCGTTGTGCAACCATCCCCACCATCCATCTCCAGAGCCATTTCATCTTCCTAAAGTGAAACTCTGTCCCCATCAAACACTCACTTCCCATTCTCCTCTCTTCCTAGCCCCGGGCAACCATCATTCTACTTCTGGACTATGGATCTGACTATTCTAGGCACCTCATATTAGTGGGGATCAGACAGTATTTGTCCTTTGGTGTCTGGCTTATTTCACTTAGTATCCTCACGGTTCATCCATGTTTAGTAAGTGTCAGAATTTCATCTTTTTAAGGCTCAATAATATCCCACAGTAAACATGTACCATGTTTTCTTTATCTACTCATCGGTTGATAAGCAGGTGGGTTTCTTCCATCTATGGACTATTGTGAATAATTCTGCTATAAACACGGGTGTGCTAATATCTTTACATCCCTGCTTTCACTTCTTATAGCTATATACCCAGAAGTGGAGTGTTTGGACATGTGGTAATTCTAGGTTTAACTTTTTGAGGAATTGTCATACTATTTGGTATTCAGTTATTTTTTTATTAGTAAACTTTGTGCTAGTACAGTTCTAGGTTAGTGAGGGGAAAGCACAGATGGTCCCCAAACATGCACGGAATTGTACAGAGTTGCTCTAAGCAGTAGGTGACTCGAGTGCTTCACCTGAGGGCCCAGGGAGTGACCCCGGCAGGTGAGCCAGGTCCTGGCAGGTGAGCCAGGTCCCATGGGAGCTTGAAGCCCCGATTACCTGAGGCGTCACAGGAGCCTTCCTCCTTCCCTGGCCTGTGGATATGGAAGTGACATAAAAGGCTGTCCTACAGGAACACCTGATGTGTAAGTGTGGACACTCACAGATGCCAAAGCAGGAGAGGGATTAACACGCACCTGATCCACCCACTTCTTCCCCTTCACGAAGACGCTTTATAAACTGAAAATCTTCTTTTCCAAGAATGCTGTGCAGAGTAACTAATTAGTGCGTGACAGGAACGCCTAAGTTTGTGAGGATAGAGTGATAATAGATAATCACATCACTCACAACTCCGTCGGCCCTAACATCAGCCCTGTTATCCACTGGACATCCCCCTGAAGATAGACATGCACCGAAATCTATCTCCAGGATTTGGGGCTCTGCTAATGTTTAGGCAATAGGTATGGCTCCTTCATTATATAGCTGCTTGGGAATTGCTTTATTAACAGTGATTACTCACAATCCAACAGAATTATAATAAAAGCACTGTAAGTGATACTTAGAATGATAACATTTACCATTCCCAAGGAACATGCTATAAATCACAGTGCTTACCCACAGATTTAAAATGCCCAGAAGTTTCTTAAACATTTCCTGGACAGCATCACTCGGGTTATTTTTACACTTACATCGACTTAATGAAACAAAAGAAAAAAATGTTTAAAATTCAAATGTAGGAAATGCATATAGATTCACACACATATGTACATTTACATGAATGCTCACATATACCCAAGGGTGTATTTGTTAAGCCAAGCTCTTCTACTTTTTTTTTATTAACATGGAATCAATTATTCTTGTCCTCAGCGGAGAGGTGACTAGCTTGTTCCAAAGCTGAAACAATAACATGCTGATCCTCAAAACTTGTCAGTCCTGAGAACTCATAACCCCACGCACCTGAACTAGCTGACTTGGTCTTTTTTTTTTTTTTAGCGGTGCCTCCCTTCTCACATGTGTTTTGTAAAATCAAGTCACATTTAAGTGTATGGGGGGGGGGATATGATGATGATTCACTTTGAAAGGAAGCAATATATTCCCCACCCCAGGAAAACAAATGTTTTCCTTTTGACAGTATCTAAAAGTACGACAAACAAACTTACAAAAGGACAGTCATTGGCATTTTAGCCCAATAACAACACTGTTAGTCAGCCCTGTAGAAAACCAAGGGCAATGAATGATTAGTACTAGCCACCCTGGAGTAAAATGGCCAGAATTAGGACATCAACTTGGCTGGACTTCAAATTTGACGGTGATGAGAAGACCTCAAAATTATCTTTTCTGAGAGATGAATCAATGTGTTAAGTGGAACACTAAACATCTTAATTGAGTTATGTTTAGTACCAAATATTTAATGCGCTTTTCTACCTTTAACATCCCTCCTTTCAGTCACATGAACTAAAGCAGTGATTCTCAACGTGGGGTCCCCAGACCTTTCTCAACATCGCCTGGACACTTGTTAGAAAAGCAAATTCCCAGCCCACCACAGATCTACTGAATCAGAAATTCTGGGCACACGGCCCAGCAAGCTGTACTGTAACAAGCCCTCCAGATGATTCTGATGCAAGCTCAAGCTTAAGAACCATAAATTAAGGCACCACCAATATGCAGAATCTAACCCCAGCTCCCTTCCTCAATTCTAATTCTCAAGATGCTTTTGTTAAAAGAAAAGTCATTCATGTGCATTTAGGCTATTTGTGATGATCACCTCAGAAAATTTTTACCATTGTTTTTGTTTGAGAAAAGAAACCTTAATCAAAACTTACATGTAATCTTTCCAGGTCCTGTGCTGGCTTCGAGTCTTAGGATGCAGGGAACTGGGCGAAGGGAGAGATGAGAAGGCTACAGCAATCCATTCAGACATGGACCCCAAAGCTCTGTGGGGCAGCCTTGTGACAGGTCAGTGAGTGTCCACCTGATTGGGGAGGAAGAGCTGTCCATTAGTGAGTGAGCCTTGCCTGTTAACATTCCCCATCCCTCCTGCTATCCTGTTCCTCCCTGCCCCTGATTTATGACCGCTAAGCTAACTTACTGTGCCCCTGGCTGTGTGCTCCCAGACCCATCCACAGCAACAGAACATGATAAACAGCCCATGGTATTCATGCCTGGGCTCAACCCGGTGGAAGCCGATTCCCTGAGTACTTTCTCCAGGTGAGCATCCCTCACTGCGTGCTGTCCTGAGCCCCAAGGCAGCTTGGGGACAGGTAAGTTTCTCCTTTACTTCATCTCATGAATGTTTTCTTTCAACAAATCAAAACACCTTTGTTTAAAAGACCCATGTGGCTGCAGTAACAAGGCAACCCAGGAAACAAATGATAAATTCGAGAATTCTGACTGAAATGAGATGATTCTCTGATGCCTCACTATGTTCATTTTTGAACAAATATTCCTTCTTTTTTCTGATGCTAAATTAATGCATGCCTATTAGAGAATACTTGGAAGCTATGGAAAAGCATAAAGATCAGCGGTAACCTTGACCCTGATAAATCACTGATGATGTTTTGTTATGTAGGTCCATCACCCCTTCAACTGAAACTCCTGAGCCAGATATATCTCAGCATTCAGATCTGTTTGAATTTTGGAGAGTATTATGGTGAACTACCACCTATCACATCATACCCCATTCAGAGTCTGGAGCAGCACTCCACAAACACATTAAGTATTTCTGTGGTAAAACAGATGCTCAGTCCTATTAAGTCAGATAAAATAGGGCCTCACATTAGTTCAGGTCAGGTTCTTCTACCAAAGAAGTTACCAAAAACCCCTTTGATTTTGGAACCTTTTGGATTCAGAATTGAGAAAAAGGGATTATGGACCAGTATTCTCTGTTCATATACGCACAAATACTCAGAGTTTTGTTTCTAATTTTTCATTCCATATTATATGAAGGTGAGCTTTTCCTAAAAATTTTCTTTTCCCTTTATATGTATTTAACCCACAGGATAATTGATATAGAGAGCGCCACAATTTTTATAAGCTAATAAAAGAATATTGAAGAGATATTTTTTTGTTCTATAGAATGAAATGATTTCACTCTTCCCCTTATCTGTAAACACAATTTCTTCTTAGTAGGATATAGCATATAGTATAAAATGGCTGAAGGAGAGAGAGAAAAAGAGAGATGCCCAAAAATTTAAATTTTATTTTGGAAGTAAGTTAAATGGATCTTCCCAAAAATTTTATCTAAAAGTAAGGAATGTTTCTATCAAAATTATCAAAAGTCCAAAAGACAAAAGGCTATCAAAAAGTTGGACCATTTCCTTCTCTGTGGCTTCTCTTAACAATTTAAATTTCATTCTGCTATTATTAGGTGTCCAGTGGGTAGAACGGCTTCTAAATGATTTTCCTTTGCCACGATCAGATATTGTCTAAGTATACCAGGACTATAGGATGTGAAAACTAAAGTGGTAATAGAGGAAATGGCCCCTCAAAGAACACACTTTATTTTTTCCAAAGGATCCAACTGCTGTGGGGGTGGGGGATACAAAGAGTAAACCACCAGTAATAACAGAAATGACTGTCAGAAGCTCTTTAGATACTCAAACTACCCAATTAGCATTGCTAGAGCTAATTACAAATTTGGATTCTCTCATTTTAAAAATATACTTCGAAGCAGCCCACTTCAGTTTTAATGCTGAACCAAAGCCTGTGCAGTTGGCACATTATCAAAGCAAAAGCAAAAAAAAAAACATTGCTTGAACAAAGTTGCCACTTTCAATGTCACTAAATCTTCAACTGCAAAATACCACAAGCTAAAAACTAGGAATGCCATGTGGTTATGTTATGTTACATTTACACGAGTTTATAGTTTCCCAAGCCCTAGGAGACTTAGACCCCTGCCACTCACAGTGGCTTTGTTCTCTCGGGCAGGCCATTCACTGCCGCTGAGTCTCATACAGTTCATGGGTTCTTGTGAGGATTAAATGAAAACGCAGCCGAGAGAATTTCTGCAAACTATAAGTCATACACAAAATGTTGGGTATCATTATTCTTTTTACTAACACCTTTGTGAGGCATAAAGAGATCAATCCTCATTCCACAGTTAAGAAAACTGACAACAGGAAGATACAGCAATAAAAACCCAACCACCCCCAAACCAAAAAAAAAAACAACCCCGAGTCAGGCAATTTGAGTTTTATCTCTGAAGTAGCCAGGAGCTGGCTGAGTGACTCTGTGCCTTGATTTCTGCAGTCATTTGAAGGGGTTGGAGAAAATGATTTTAAGGTCTTCTTGAGGCAGATGGCTCTGGGACTGGGACTTGGCCCTGCGAGTGATGGGCTAGGCTTAAGAAAAACCCTTAGGAGGCAGTCCCTCCGGGAGGCCAAGGGCAGCACCCACCATCCGAGGCTGCAAGTGCTGGGGCAGGGCTCTTGGCTGCCTCCTACTCCCAGGGATGGGATAGGTATCAGCTAACGTTTTTGCTTAATTAAGGGAAGGTTGGGAGCATCCTATGCAAATGGCCAGGGCTCCTGAGGCAGGGGAAGGAGCCACTGGACACACTGGAAACCGCAGCTCTTTATTAATGAATACAGGTATTTCACTGCTCTGCTAACCGGTGTAGCTAAGTAAGTGCATACTACTGGATTATCAGTGTGGCTAACAGCCCCATGGCTGTTTGGCTGTCAGTTTCAAAGAGAGAGTCACCTCCGTGGGCCACCCCCTTTCTTGGCTGAGCTCCTACAGTGTTGGGGGAGAGGTGTAAAAGGGCTACTTTTTGTAGTATGAGGGCTCATCATGCTCACACGGGAATTTCACTTTACAAAGATCGGGGCCACTAACTCAGGCCTTTCTAGTCCCAGTGCTAACATAACCTCCTGTGCTGAGGAAAAGTTCAGTATCAGTGCTGTTCATTGCGGCAGCCACCAGCCACACCTGGCTGTTGAGCACTTAAAAGGTGTCTAATGGGACGGAGGAACTGAATTTTAAATTCTCATCAACTTAAATGGATTGAAATTCAAATAGCCACGTGTGGTTAGTGGTACCTGATTGGGCAGTGCAGCTCAGTGTAGGCTGCCTCACATACTCGTTTTCTTGGACGAATTTCAGACCCCAGAAGCCCATTGGCCCATAGCCATTCATTCAACAAGTATTTACTGACAAGGCAATGATGAAGAAGAGAGCCACGGACACCTTGTGCTCATGGCATTGTTCAGCTACACTGATGTTCAAAGACATCACAGAACCTTGCAGTGTTTCAGCAGACTGCTCTTAGGAAAAGGTGGGTGAGGTGAGATGGTAATGCTACACCAAGCATGAAAGCGCTTCTTTTTCATTTCTCCATATTTACTGTTACCGAAGCAGGGGAAAGTTTACAGAAGAGATAGTTGAATGGTCACCATTCATTCACTTACAAGTAAAGTAGCATATCCCAGATATGAGAAATCATCTGTAAGTAATTTCCTCTTTCACACACTTAAATTTACTTAAAGAAAAAGTCAGTGGGACCTGCATTCCTAAGCTAAGAAAAAAGTAAATGACATTTAATTATGGCAATAGTCATAGAAGGATAAGTGGGTCTCCAGCTGCAAGCGGTGGGCAGAGAGACGTTTATACCAATTAGCTGTGAAGAGATCAGGTTTGCTATCAGGTACTTCTGGTATAAGGCAGGCTGATTGCATTCTCTATCCCCGCAACTCAACGCCTAGCTAAGATTTCCTCAGTGGCTTCCATGGGACCTGATGCGCAGAGCCCTGTTTGCTTTCCCCCAGGAAATTACAGGTGGCTTTATTTTTTATCTACAGCACAGGTCTAATATCAACAACATAGTTTCTAAGAAACATAAGAGTGGTTTGGTTTAGTGCTTTTCCGATTTCCAATATTGCTTCCCATGAATTTCTGTTGTCAATTCTCTTCTATCCTAATTACCTCTTCCTACCTTACTGGGATTTAAAGCAATACAAAGAAAAGAAGACAAATATTCAGAACTGGTTCATACTCTTGTTTGAACCTGAATCCAGGTGTGCCTAAATACAAAAGGACAGTGACATCATGCATATTATCACTTGAGCTGAAAGCTTCACCGAGCAAAACAAGCTGACTTTGCTCAGCATCCCAATAGGTTGTACTTGGATGACAGCAATGAGCCAATCTGACCTCCTGGCTTCAAAATGCCATTCTGGTCCCCCTGCCCAAAGTCACACTATTGGTTTCTAGGGCTAATAAATGACTATTGCACATCTACCTACCTACCTACCTACCTACCTACCTACCTACACACCACACACACACACACACACACACACACACACACACACACACACTGCTTTTTTCTCTGGATTGAGTAGAAAGATAAATTACAGTGGTCAGAAAACAAAGTAAGAGTTCAAAACGTAGTTCTAATAATACAAATTGCATTTAGAGACTACCATCTATTAGAAAAGGTCAAATCTCTAATGTTCTTCTGGCCCCATGCTGTATAAAAATTTGGTGACAGCCTCAGTAATAAACATGCTGTGAGTGGCTCTGGAGTCCTTATTCATATTCAGAAGCACTAAGTGGAGGAGTCACACACACTTTATGGTCAGAAGGGCTTTCAATTGACGTTAATTTTTTGGAAACTACAGAGATGAAATTTTTTAAAAATCTACATTTCAAACAGAATTTAAATAGCCACTTGTGTAAAGCAGAGACCTCTGAATCATAGTCTTGTGGCTTTTGTGTTTTGTTCTACTGGCATGGAAAGATGATGCAAGGAAACGTGCTTTATTTTTTCTTTCTTTCTTCCTTTCTTTTCCTGCAATAGAGAAAGAACTGGGGAGGAGATTTGGCCATTTCAGACCGGATGGAGAAAATGAAGATAAACCATCTCTGAAAGTTTCCACTTACACATTTCAGGTATTGGGACCAAGTATTCTAGTGGGAGAACCACAGCTAGAAAGTTCACTTCTTTGATATTTAAGATGTTTAAATTCCCAA